TCAATGGTGTACAAAAACAAAATCCCGGCTTGACTAGAATAGAAAGTACTGAAGTACTGTCCCAGAAGGTATTAGATGAGGGTTTTCAAGGTTTAACTTTAAACGTGATGTCAAAGGAGATAAGAAGTGGAAGCAACCCAAATGTTCACTGATGGATAACAAAATGTAGTGTACACATACAACTGAATACTACGAAGCCTTAAAAAGGAAGGAACCGTTGAGGTATGCTACATGGACAAACCATGAGGCCTTTTTGCTAAGAGAAATAAGGCAGTCACAAAAAGACCAACACTGCATGATTCCACTTCTATGAGGTATCTAAAGTACTCCAATTAATGGAAAGTAGAGAGGGGGGGGGGGGGGGGGGGGGGGGGTAGCTGTCCCATGGGTGTGCCGTTTCAGTTCTACGAGATGAAAAAGCTCTGGAAGTCTACTCACAACAATGTAGATCTACTTACTACCCAACTATATGCTACGAAATAGTAAAGATGGCAAATTTTATGCTTTATTTATGTTTTACTTTGTCTTTGCCACAACAGGAACTGAGGAGACAGACTAGAAAGTTTGGGCCAGCTGTTCAGCTTTTATTCAAACTGAATTCCCTGTATGTATTCAGAGCTTTTTTCTTTCCTTTAGAAGCCAGTGCAGGTCTTACAATCATCTAGCACCACATCCGGGAGTTTTCCCTACCTATTCCATCCCCTCTTCCACCAGGCAGTAGTACAGGGAATACAGGGTCCAGAGGACACAGCACAGGGATTACCAGTGATCCCTGCTCTGCCATGTGCCAGCTGCATGACCTTAGGAAACTTCCTTTATTTCTCCGAGCCTCACCACTGTCATGACAATAGTGCCTACTTCACATGACTGTTTTGAGGATGAAATGAGTAAACATGCATAAAGAACCTGTAACAGTCCCTGGCAAGCAATAAGCATTTAATTAGTGTCTGCTGGATGGAAAGTAACTGAGGTTTGAGCTAAACATAGCCAGAGCCTGGGCAAGAGCATTCTGCAGCTTGGATCAAGGAGAAAGGATTGGTATAAATTATATTTTGATTATTTTATTTACTGTGCAATCTCAAAAATACAACTCTTTCAAAATCTAGAACTCAGGATCCATTCCCACATCCAGTGAAGGCTAAAAGTGATAGTTCACTTCCTTATCACAAGAAGTCACCAACGGGTTCAGTAATACCTAGGGTCGGGTGTTTTAGATAATAATCTCAATATTTAAGTGCTTGATACCCTCCTTAGCTTCACTAAGTCTTTCTCTTTCAAGCTGTCCACTGAAATTTTAATTGGCTAATGTATGAAACTGGTTTTCAGTTCTAACCCACAGATCTTTAAAGGAGAGCCATAATTCTTGGGCAACCAGGAAGGTTTCATCGTGTTGAGCTCCTAAAGAGTAGAAGTGGGGACAGTGAAAAGGAATAAGCCAAAGCCTGCAACCTGGTGGAGGAGCCCTACCTGTGTGCCCCTCACTGGGCACCTGCTTCTGCCCAGTGACAGCTCCCTGCTCTAGAAACCAGCAACATTCAGCTGAAAGAAGAATGAGACCACTTAGATCTCTTGATAAGAACACAAGCACGTATTTTTCAGGATTCTGTTCCATTTCATGCTGCCCTGAGTACAGCTTTAATTTACTCAGGTCAAAACTATTAGGCTATTACAGCTCAACAGAAAGATTTCAAAAGTTATGCTTATGCTATATCCACCTTATTAAACATTTTTTAATTCTAAAATTTTAGTATGAATGTAAACCCCACCATTTCTCTGAATTTGAGTCTCATTTTTAAACAACCAGATGTTTCAAAATAGCCTACTGTGAATTGTTTCCTCTCTTTGCATTTATAAATAGTATCCTGACCTCTTTTCCAGCTGAATTTGGGAGCTGGCTCCTATTGGTTCCTTTACTGTCTTTTTCTTAAGAAGAGAGGGTATCTCAGCAAATGTCTTCCAACTTACTGACTCATTTATTTACATGCATCCATTCAATAAATATTTGAGGAGTATTAACTACTCTCCAAGAGTAATAATAGTGAGAAATATTTGCAGTTCAAGATTTCAGCACCCATTCTCTCATTTGAGAGCAGCATTAAGTGCCATAAAGAAAATGAAGATGCAATGTCTTCTCTAGAAGAGTTTAAAAACCTTAAGATTAGACAGAATTAAGCAAAATAAAATAGCACACATAAAATCATTTCTTTACCACTCTGGTAAGTGCCAGTAAAAAATACCGAAAATGGAACTCTGAGGTACCCCAAAAAAAGCACATAAATAGTAATAAGAAAAATCTAATTTTGTGACTTTGACTTTCACATGGTTTACATTTTAAATATTGCTTTACTGTTGACTACATAAAGAAGTAGAACCATCATCTTTCATGAGTACCAGAGAACTCTAGAAATCTCAAATTAATTCTAGGAAGGCAAGTGAAATATGCAGCCATTCATGGCTCTGAGGATGAAGTGATCAGTGAAGGTGCGGTAGGAAGAAACGGCGATGGAGACAGCACCATCTGAAGCAGAAGAAATGCCATAAAAGGGGCACCGAGAGAGAGGTCTTCAGGTTCTAACAGCAAGGAGATGAGAACAGTTGGACCTAATGTTCAAGAAGTAATAAAGGGTGATGCCAGAAAAGGAAGCTGGAGTTGGTTATGGAGGTCTTGAATAGCAGGCCAAGGATTCTGAACTTCGTCAAGATACTATGAAAGAGACTTAGCAATGACGGTTACCATCCCCACCCCTACCCCCCACTCCCAGGGGCCCAAGACACCTTACAATCAGCATGCAGACCCCACTTCCCTTCTGCTCTTCCCTGATCATCTCTCCAACTTCAAATTGATTAACCATGTTTCCATTTCCTAAAGCTATGTAATACAACCTGTACAGTCCTGTGTGCCCCATTTTTGTAAGAACCAGGAGGGTATATTCACCATCTTATTAGTCCCTCCCTAGGTATCCCTCACCTACTCACCTACTTTGTACACAAATGGAAGAAGATAGGAAAATAATTCTTCCCACCTCTTCACTAGTAGTTTTTACCTCTGAAACTGCTCCAAATGACTACTCCGATCCGAATCAGGATTCCTTGGTCTCCTCACAGTATGAGTAAAGATATATGTTTATTCGTATACTAAGAAATTCCTTGTAAAGAGAATACAATTGACTTCAACTAAGAAAATAAGTGAGTAAAATGGCTTAATCATCATTAAATTTAATCTGGCCAATAAAAAAAATTTCTAAAATAACAAACTACAGGAATCCAGGACTTCGCAGAAAGGATTAAAAATACATCTCATAGCCTCTAATCTCTCATCAATTCACATTTGGTGAAAGCTAAGAAATATTTCTAACATTAATAAAAAGTTCTCTACATAATTAATATTTTACAGAGAATTCCAAAAAGCCCTCAACTTAGCAAGTGCCAAGATTGGATCCAATAAATGAGTCCATAAATAAATGAGAAGTAAAAAAAAAACACTTGTTAAAAGAAAGCTAAGAAAGCTATGAAAGCAACAACCATCATAATACTTGGCAATTTCATAACATCTTTCACCAAGCTTTCTCAAAGTTGCAGGGAAGTGGGGTATAAATTTTTTTTCTTTTTTACAAATAGTTTATTGTCAAGTTGGTTTCCATATAACACCCAGTGCTCATCCCCACAAATGCCCTCCTCCATGCCCATGAGTCCTCAGTTTGTTCTCAGCATTCAAGAGTCTTTCATGGATTGCCTCTCTCCCTTTCCCCCACCCTTTCCCCCCTTCGTCTCCCCCATGGTCCTCCGTTAAGTTTTAAAAAAAAGGAAAGAAAATGTCTTGGACATCATGAAACCCATAATCCTAAATCCTAGGGTTTTTAAACTTCATAGTTTCATAGTACTAATGTAAAAGTTTCCAAGAAAATTGCAATTCACTGTAATCTGATTCTTGTACTTAACCATAGTAACTAACAATAGTTGAACTGAAAAGGATTAACTGAGTATCTATGAGTCTTAATACTGTTAGAAACTTCTGGTAATATCAGATGATTAAGAATTTATCTTTTAATACACCATCAGCAAAATTATATATGTATATATATGTATGTATATTATACACACACACAATCAGGTTTCCTTTCATTGGCAACCAGTATATCTGGCAGGTTTACAGAGGACAGAAAAAATACTAACACATATACGCCCACGTAAATAAGTTTTAACAAGTCAACTGACTTACCCTCTAGGTACATTTTAATTTAAATAAATCTTTGAGTACTAACAAACCAAATCTACATAAAACACTCTTGGTGTTAGGACCCACTTTAAGTGTGTATCTGTTAAAACATGTGTTTAAAAGGGAGCTAGGAACCAGGTTCCTGCTTAGTTTCATGACCCATTTTACTCTTTTCCTTCTTTTTTACACTGTCTTATTAAACAGCGTAATGTCAAGAGAATTTTCCGTCAATATTTCTCTTGTAAAAGTGCATGGAAGTCATAACTGAAAGTTTAAGATGATTCTTTTTCCCTTAAAAAAAAATAGTTAGCTTCTTTTTTAAAACAGCCCTAACTTCATCTTCCAATTACTTATGGGCAATGTTCCATCAACTCATGCGGGTGTAGAGTGCTTAAGTGCGGGGAAAATCAATACTGAGCTTGTAAATACAATACTATTATTGGTAATCACAGTGACATCCGATTAAATGTACTTTTAAAAATAGTTTCCTTTTCAATAGACTTTTTCCTTTTTTTAACCAGAAGGCTATATTGCACTGAGCAGCCTATTTCAAGGGCAACCTGGCCAAAAAAAAAAAAAAAAAAAGTTCCTATTACTACACAAACTTGCAAAAGCCAAAAATGTCATGATTCTGCACAAATGTGCTTCTATTTTAACTCTAACTGTCAAAGGACAAAGTTCACAACGTAATTTCACAAAGCCTTCCCTCAACTAAAATAAGAACTCCAGATCGCCAAACGGAGGTGAGTAAAGTGTTTAAGAAAACAAGTCCGGGCGAACTTACTTTACTAAATGAGATGGATCACGCCTTCTCCCAAGAGATTCTTGTCTCCAAACTAAAACAAGAGCTCAATCTAGTAAACTCACTGCCGACAGGACCCGGTGTGTGGTGTTGGGTTCAGGCAGGTGGAGGCCAAATGACTGTGATTAAAGTTAATTAACAAGCCGGTCGTATCAAAGTGTATAACCAGCAGGGTGCGGGGGAGCACCGAGATCTGAGCAAACTCATTATCTCTACCGAGTAAATAACTTGGTGCCTGAAACTCGCTAAAGGACAGCTTCTTTTTATTTCGGGGTGCGGGGTGCTGAAGGAGTCGTCGAGCTGTGTGCGCAGATTCTCACCATCCCCGGCCAAATCTCCTTAGTAAGGAGTTTTTGTATCACTTACCCGCTTCTGGTTTCCTTTTAGACGCCCAAACGCGGGAGCGAAATCCAAGGGGCAGAAGCCAGAGCCGAGCACTTGGCGCTCTGGAAATTCACCCGGAAAGTGCCCGAAAGCCGCAGCGCAGCCCGAGACGGTCGCCCCTCCTCGCCCCGGCCCCGCCGCCGAGCCCAGCCCACCCTCGGTCCCCGGCACTCGCCTCGTGCGCCGGCAGCCGAGCTGGAGAAGCGAGGCGGGCGCTGACGCCTCGGCGCCGGCGTCTCTCCCCACCCGGCTCGCTCGGTCCTCAGCCGTCGGTCCCAGGCGCGGGGCCTCCTCGTCGCCGGTCCCCGCCGGCTGCCCGCACCGCGTCTGCTGCCGGGCGGCGGCCGCGCGGGCGGCGCTGTCACACGGGCTGGCGCGCCGCGGCCGCCGCACCTGGAGGCGGGGAGCGCGGGGAACGCGAGCCCGCGCGCAGCTCCGGAAGCGCTGCGGCCGCCGCCCGGCGCCCGCCCAGGTGCTCTCGCGCTGCGCCGCTGCCGCTTCCTCTCGGGCCGCGTGGGCGGGGAGCCGGCGCCGGGCGCGGGGGCAGCCGGGGCTCAACGGCGGGGGCGGCCGAGCCGGCAGTCCTGGTTCCGCAGCATAGCTGGGCGGCTGACTCAGTCCGCCGAGGCCCGGCAGCGCCTGGCGCCCTCGCCACCTGGCGCACCGAGGCCCCGAGGCCCCCGGGCCGGAGGGGCTGGGGAAGCTGCGAGGGCGCGTCCGGGAGCGAAGATCGGCGAGGGCATCACCCTCCCCCGAGGGAGATGCGGGGGACCCTGCCCGGCCCCTGCCGGCCAGTCGGCTTTTCCGCGCGCGCTGATAGAGGGGTTGCTTGCCAAATGGGCGGAACCTCACCACCGTTGATTGTTAGTCTTACTCTAAGTACTTTCCGTGTTACCTCAGCGTTTCTCAAACTGAAGACTCATCTAGGGCGCTGGTTTTCCCAGGCTGCTGCTTGGTCAAGTTGCATTCCGTGGGCCCGGGAATTGGTCTACCAACCTCCGTGCAGATTAGCCTGAGCCCATTATATAGGATTCTCCAAAAGGTGTCGGTGAGGGCGGGACTGACATCTCCGTTTAATAGTTGAGAAATCGGAGAAGCAAAGCACCTTGGCCAAACGACACAACTTGAAGGGGTGAAGGTGATTCCATTTAGACCTGAACTCTGAACCCTGAGGAATACAGCCTATTCCCTGATTTTCTCATTTCCCCCTTGTCTTTTTCACCTGGAGGAGAGGGGTGATCGTGCCCCCTCCCCCACCCCCCCAGTCCTTCTGGTACCTGAGCTTGTTAGATCCTGGAAAGATGGCGCCCCTTGGACTTGTACCTTGGCACTATGTTCTTGGACGTGACAATATGGTGGCAGGGGCCCTCCTGAAGAAAAAAAAGAAATACCTCCCAGTGTGCCTGTGCGTCTCCTAATACCTGATTCAGTAAAATCCACTTGTTTGCCAGTGAGTTCAAAGGCCAAACCCTTGGTGTTTGTTTTTTTTTAAATAAACATCTCTTCACAGACTATACCTGAAATTTCTCCCTTGAAAGATGAAACGTTCTTATCTTTCCAGTGATAAAAGTAAAGCAATTAGGGAAAGTGGTGAGCTTATTATCAAAATGAGATAATTGGTGAGGGCCAGCATGTAGGAGGCTTCCCAGGAGCTTGGCCGGTTGTAGGCGTCATCTTCACCAAAACACCTCCCACCAAAAAGCACCCTCCTACCTGGGAAGACTCTGAAGCAGCTGTAACAGGCTCCAGAGACCCCAAATCCCCATTTCTTTTGAACTAAACGCTTCATAGCAAGCCCTGTTTGCACCAGGAAAGTTTTCTTGACATTTCCTAAACCTCAAGTATGATCTTTTCTTTGGATTCCTGTAGAATTGTATTATGTGGTTTTCCTGCCTTTCTTTTAGGTTCTTAATCTGTTGAGTTGGGGTTGGGTTTTTTTTTTCATTTTTTGCTTTTTTCTAAGATTTCTCCCATACTTGTCATTTATTTTTATCTGCATAAGCCATCCTAAATCCTTTTCTGAATAATGTGGGTTATAAACAAAAACTCCTACATTAGTAATGGTATGTCTCAACGCCAAACATTGCTTTGGCCTCAAGTACTTGTTAGGTTTTATAAACTTAATTGGGACTTTGTGTCTCTTTGCAACAATATCTTAGTTCCCTGATTATCATTCAATAATTTATTGTTTAGAAAATTTATTGAACACTTACTTTTTGATAATACAGTAGTAGCAAATGCAATACAACCCCTGGATTTATAGCCTTCGCTGAGGGGAAATAAAGTTAAGAGCTGTAAAGCACACCAATGATTTAATAATAGCTCTGGGAAGTGAAAGAAAAACAATGTTCCCCCATTGACTGTATACACTGATTTTAAGATGTATTCTGGTTTTAAGAACCTTCACATATGGAGGAAAATAAAAGATATGTGAGGAAATATGTCAAAAGTACTGTTATTGTTTATTAATCAAATCAGATTCCAGCCAAACATCTAATATGTATGTTGTAGACATAAAACAACTCTACAGGTTAGAACTCTTTTTCTAATTTTTTAAATATAGGCTTACTTGAGACTTAGGTTAAGTAGTCAATGGTGTATAAATTAAACACATCTAGGCTGGATTCATATACTATAAATTACTTAGCCCTCACAGTGAGGCATTCAGGAAGCAAAGTATACAAGAAAATTAACTTCATAACCAGTGAGGTATGATATCTGTTTACTGCCTGGGCCATTGGACTATATATTCCCAGAAATTTCCATATAGTTTGGATTTATTCCAAAATGACCTACTCCCACCCTTATTTCCTCAAGTTTTAGTCAGAGAACAGGTGTAACTATATACTTTGCCAGGCTTTGGTTCTTGCTCCCCCACCCCTCCTACCCAGAATGCACTGTGTTTCTGAAAGAGGTAATTTGACAGTGGTAATCTTCCTCCTGTCCTCCCCTTCTCTCTCCTTTCTCTCCTCCTCCTTTTCCTTAATATCTTCCAGGGTTATACCTATAAGAGCATTTAGGTGTCAGTTGCTATTCCCAGCACTTTACTTGCAAAAGCTCACTGAATTATCTCAGCACCTTCTTGAAGAGAGTGTTATTAGACCCATGATAAGAAACTTAAGAAATAGAGATCAAGTAATTTACACCAATTAGGAAATAAACAGCTCAGAGCCTGGAGCTTGCCCCAGATGCTGTGTCTCCCTCTCTCTCTCTGCCTCTCCCCTGCTCCCTCTCTCTCTCAAAAATACATATTTAAAAAATTAAATAAAAGTATATATTAATGTATAAACTGCCTATTCCATTCATGTTTTATAAAACAATCTTATTCACATTTTAGCATGCAACTTTAATAGCAGGAGAGCCACATTTTGAATCATCAGTTTTTTGTCTTTTTTTTTTTTTTCAGAGCATATAAGTTTCACTTCTAAATTTTTAAAGAAACCTAACTTTCTGAATCCTTTTATGATTCTGTCACCCAGAATGTTTATTACAAACCACAAGTTCCCACCTGCATTATATTAAGAAGTTATATGTTCTCATTCATCCTAAATATGTACATTTGTAATCTCTACCAGTTGTTTTTTGAATGCTTTTGAAAAGGACGCTTACACTAACGTAGGGCACTTGCAACTGTGAGCTCATACTTCCATTAATTACTTAATCTGTTTTAAATATCTTCATCTTCTTGATTTTTTTTTAAATGTTTTATTTATTTCTAAGAGAGAGAGAGAGAGACAGCGTGAGCAGGGGATGGTCAGAGAGAGAGGGAGTCACAGACTGAAACAGGCTCCAGGCTCTGAGCTGTCAGTCAGCACAGAGCCCGACGCGGGGCTCGAACACACGAACCGCGAGATCATGACCTAAGCGAAAATCGGACGCTTAACCGACTAAGCCACCCAGGCGCCCCTTCATCTTCTTGATTTTTAAGCGAATTCCATCAGATGACCTCTGTACATATCCTGAGCCAAGACTGATTGAAGCTATTTCAGTACACATGCCCTATACCCAACTCCAGTAGTTCAAGTAATTTGCAGCTTGAATTAATGTACAGTAATTCCAGAAGGGTAGCAATCCTCGAATATATAGATTCTCGGTACCAGGCACTATGACACATTTTTAACACTTTAAATACTCTCAGAAGGTTTGGAAGGTAGATACTACCATTACCTCCTTTCTTAACCAGTGAAGAAATGGAGACACAGAGTTTATTTCATCTAAGAACAGTAAGGGAGAAAGGATTTGAACCCAGATAATGTGGATTCAAATCCCACATATGTCTTAAGCATTCTGCCTCAGAGAAAACTTTTAAAGCTTTGGCCAGATAGACATCTTTTCTGATGCCTATTTTGTGGGAGAAATGATGTGCCTTATGTTCAGGCTCTCTCTTGGATTTTCCCAATGACCCTTGTTTGTACCACTATTGGAGTAGCTGTGTTAGGGGATTTTGCATTACAGATACTGAGAAGCTTTTCTTACTACCCTTGGATTCCCTGAAGTTCCACTACCTCTTTGGAGCACTCTTGACATTTATGGGTACTTGGAATCTTTTACTACTGTTTGAATTCCCTGAAGTGCCCATCATAGGGCCTTGGATAAATTTTGTTTTATTCAATTGAA